CAGGAGACTCGTGTTCACATCCACCTTCTGTCCTTCTCACATGAATACCAGTGATGAAGGCCCACTTTACACATTACATCTGCTGTTTTACATAGCCCTAAACATTCTGTTATAACATGATTTATAATCTCACAATGGGCCTGGCAACTGTAGCCTATAATTAGTGCCAAAGTCTAGGTAAAGTATTCAATTACCAGTGTCTTCTTTAAAATGTAAATCAAAATATTGACTGAAAATCAGCATCAATCAAATGTATGCTATAAAGCATTTTATTGTATGAGAGAGACAGTTTGTTAAAATGTTATTTTTGTGTTTTGATGCACTGAAACACCAGAAAGTGTATTCACAACACTCTCTTAAAAACACAATTATTCAAATTGCAGGACCATTTTGGATTTCAGAGTACTTCCATTCTGTTTTGAAATACATTCAGTGTGTCATAACACTTACATTGGGTTTACATTCAAACACCCTCCAAACACTAGATCTCAGTTTAGGTGCACTACTTTTCATGGTTTCACTACACAATGATGGTGTTTTGAGTCTTTCTATTTTAGTAACCTTTTACTGCCGTGGTCTAAATCAGTGTCACACAGAGTGTTTCTTGGTAGTCTTAAACGAATCTAGTTTGAAACAAAACTATACACCTCACACACATGGTTCTGGGCTTACAAAAAAGAAGACACCTGTACCATGTCAGATATAGAGATGAAATGTATAAGATGTTGAGTTTGCATCCCAATATTACACTTTATATACATCACAGAAGACTAAACAAAAACAAAACTGTTTGACATAGAAACACCAGATTTTCAGCAGGTTTTTAAAAATGATTATGAAATTATGAAAAATATGAATAACATTCCACCCATGAAGCCACCAGGTCATTTGACTGCAGGAAAGGGCTGCCAGCGTAGTGGTAATAAACGGGGCATGGTCAGGTTCCTCCCACTAAACTCTGGCTGGCATTCACTGTTCCATTTCAGTTAATCTTATCAATTACCTATTTTAATGATCACAATAACCTGTTCAAATCAATCCGTTGATTTGTAGAGTCGTGATATTACAAACCTATTAACCTTGCTCACACACACACACACACACTCTCTCTCACACACACACACACACACACACACACACACAGAACACACTGTGTAGTACACATGGCATAGTAAAGTACACATAGAACACACATTGTAGGACACACACGCATGAACACACACTCACACAAATGCACACACACATGCAGACACACACGCACACCTCTCTCAGTGGTAGAGTGATTAGTGATAGTGTTAGCGAGGTTAAGGGGGAACTTTGTCCCTGGTTGAGAAACAAAGGCAGATGGTTCCTGGTTCCTGGTCTGTCCTTATCTTATCCACTAATGATATACTGTATCTGTCAGCACACAGTGACACACACACACACTGATAAGCATGGCCCTAGGTTGCAGCCAATAGTGCTTATTCTGCTCATAATATGAGTCGGCAGTGTGTGTGTGTGTGTGTGTGTGTGTGTGTGTGTGTGTGTGTGTGTGGTGTGTGTGTGTGTGTGTGTGTGTGTGTGTGTGTGTGTGTGTGTGTGTGTGTGTGTGGTGTGTGTGTGTGTGTGTGTGTGTGTGTGTGTGTGTGTGTGTGTGTGTGTGTGTGTGTGTGTGTGTGTGTGTGTGTGTGTGTGTGTGTGTGTCAGCTGGACGGAGCAAGATACATTGACAGGAGTTGGGAGTTGCTGGCATTGACAGGAGTTCTCTTTATTGGTAACTTATTGATAACACCTCAACACTGTTATAGAACACAAGGAATGCTCATTGGAAGAACAGAATTCATCATCAGAAGAAGAATCAAGAAGAGAAATCTTGGATTCACATTTACAAAGTAATCTTGTGAAAGTGAAAGTGGATGATGTGAGTCTGATGGCAAGCCCTGGTTGACTCTCAGAGGAGAGTTAAAATGAAGGTCAGGACTAACAGGACTCTACTAATACTGGAGCGGTTGCCGCTTTATGCAACCAGAGTGTGCTAGGACGAACACACACACACACACACACACACAGTCTTAATTTCACCAATGGCCGTGTGAGGTAATGCCACCTCTCTGAGTGACCTTATTCTGAAGGTGTTAGCTGGCCTGATTAGCACTGATCCTGTTACTGAGACTACACAGGTGGAGGACTGCCGGAAATACATGCAGTGCATGACCCTGTGTGTGACTGGGGCCTTAAAAATATAATATTTAGTTGAAACAATAACAAAGCGGTCACCCCATCTCTGTTTTGGTAAAATACTGAGGGCCTGGAGAAATGTAACCACTCTCAAACTCACAGAAAGAGACCTGGATGTAAAGACTGACCATCCATGATATCAAAATTATAGTTTCAACCATGTTTTGAGGCTTTACAGTGTTTGTTTACATTGTTTACAAACATTGGAGTAAAACAAGCTTATATTTTGGGTCCTGATGGGGTCCGACAGTTGAACTAAGCTCATGAGGCATTTTTAAGTTATATTCTTCAAGAATCAATGGGTATACATAATTTACAAGTTTATAAGTCTAAAAATGGCTGTAGCAATTAAGTATTCTAGCTTTAAAGTGTGTGTATGCCAGGGCAAGTCTTAGGGCCAAGCCCTAATTTTCAACCCAACATTGTAAATGGACGGTGCTGTGCTTCAGCGTGTATTGTGACTCCCCCTAGTGGTCCTAGGGTTAAAGCGAAACTCCACCCAAAAACTATATTTTGGTATTTCTTTAGTCCATTTCATTAGTCCATAGTTGACATAGTCAGAAAATGTTTTGCTTGTCAGCAATCAAGTTTTCAAGATATGTAACTTTTAAAATACAGAAATCATCACCGTATGATGCATTTTGCATGATGAAAAATGCCTCATATGGTGATGATTTCTGTATTTTAAAAGTTACATATCTTGAAAACTTGATTGCTGACAAGCAAAACATTTTCTGACTATGTCAACAATGGACTAATGAAATGGACTAAAGAAATACCAAAATATAGTTTTTGGGTGGAATTATCCTTTAAGTGCACTGCCAGACAGCAAAGCAAGTCAACAGAGAGGGAGGGAGGGACACAACCTGTGGGTCCCCAGGACCAGCGGCCTCATTTATCAAATGTTCTTAGTTATTATATAACATTTCTACAATCATACAATTGTATAATCATTTCTTACAATATGATGAAATTCTGTTTATATAATGTCTACACCTATAAATAAAGTTGGTCACAAAAAAACATTTTCCATTTATAATTCACAAAACTTCATGCAAAATCTATGTGAATTGCATATTTTCATCACATTGTTGATGTGGATTCTGTCATATGCGATTTACTATCAGATCTTTACATACAAACACTTTATAAAAGAGGCCCCTGGATATATATAGGTACCATATCTGTTAGTGACCAACCAACCCACTCTGCCTCAGCAGTAGAGCCTGTTGAAAAACATGTTTTACAATCATCATCATCATCATCATTACACATTTATCATCATCATAATCATCATCATCACCGTCATCATCATCATCATCATGAGTATACACTCTCCAGACAAAAATAATTTGATGCACTTTCCAAAGTTAGGCAAAGTTAGTTAGACATAGGAGTTTATAGTTCACCAGCATTCAGTAAAAAAAACACACAACGAACAATAACACCAATTTTATCGTCATGTTTCAATTTTCATGCAGTATAGTCAGCACAATGAAACTGTAGTTGTACAATATAGTGTGGAATCATTTCAAATGGAAGGTTGTATCGTCAGTGATTATTTGCAATGCTCAACACATAGAGAATCAAGTATAAGAACAACAATATAGAACGGTTCATGCTGTATCGACTTCGCTTGTCTTCTCTCACCGAAGGGGAAGAGATGGGGGAGGGGAGGGATGGGGTGGGGGAGGGGAGGGATGGGGTGGGGGGAGGGGAGGGGTGGTGGTGCATACAATTCATCATCAGAGGGTGGGGTGGGAGAGGGGTTTGGGTGGGGTGGGGGAGGGGAGGGGAGGGGTGGTGGTGCATACAATTCATCATCAGAGGGTGGGGTGGGGGAGGGGTTTGGGTGGGGGAGGGGTGGGGTGGGGAGGGGAAGGGTGGTGGTGCATACAATTCATCATCAGAGGGTGGGGGGGAGAGGGGAGGGGTGATGGTGCATACAATTCATCATCAGAGGGTGGGGTGGGGGGGAGGGGAGGGTTGGTGGTGCATACAATTCATCATCAGAGGATAGCCTGTTTCCATATTTCGGAATAAAAGACAAGCAAAACTGTAGCAAAAACACACAACTGCACTAATCCTGTTGGTTTGTGCAATGTGTAGTCAGTTGATACGCCAGGCAGGAAGCAGCCTTAAGCCTAACTTCAGTTTTGCGCAAGTATGCAACGGATTAGTTCGGCATACTTGCATAACGAAAATAAGCAGAAATCAAAATTCATCCCCGCAATTTGTAACTCAACGGCATTTTGCTTCGACTTTACTGGAGGAGCACAACTCAACAAACACTCACTGGGAAATAACACTGGAGAAGTCATGCTCCTCTTCAACAAGAGGAACAAACCCCTTTAAAGAGGATCAACTGGACCATTAAAGATATTGTACACAATATAACAACAACTTACTTGCATCAATAATAATAATAACAACAACAACAATAGTAGTAGTAATAGTAATAATATAAATAATAATACAGTAATAAACTTGATTTAAACTGTAGATGTATCTGCGCCAGGGGTGGGGCTACAGCAGAGGAAGAGAGGGAGAGCTAGAGTACTGGACTGAAGGTTTGTGTCTGTTGGCATTTGTATTGGATGATATGGTTGCAGTGATAGTTGTTGCTGCAGCTTGTGTGTGTGTGTGTGTGTGTCCAGGAGGGGTTGAGGCTGTGCGTTGTTAAGTTGCAGTAGCAGCGTGCACTTGCTGGGGGGTGGGGGGTGGGGTCTCCATCCTCCTCTCCTCTCTCACTCTCCATCTCTCTTTCCTCTCTAAGACTCTCACTCCTCCTGGAAGACAAAAAAAGCATGCTAGGTTTACATTAACAGCAACTCTGCAAACAATAACTGTCAAGCTCGGAAGTGTGTATGTGGCTGTGGGTGTGTGAATGCGTGTATGTGTGTGTGTGTATGCGTGTGTGTGTATGTGTGTGTGTGTATGTGTGTGTGTATGCGTGTGTGTGTATGTGTGTGTGTGTATGCGTGTGTATGCGTGTGTGTGTGTGTGTGTATGCGTGTGTGTGTATGTGTGTGTGTATGCGTGTGTATGCGTGTGTGTGTATGTGTGTGTGTGTGTATGTGTGTGTATGTGTGCGTGTGTATGCGTGTGTGTGTATGTGTGCGTGTGTATGCGTGTATGTGTGTGTGTGTATGCGTGTGTGTGTATGTGTGTGTGTGTGTACCAGTTCACTGCTGCAGCGGTGCGGCCGGTGCTCCTGAGCAGTGGAAGTGAACGTTCTGCCACTTGCTCTCCCGGCGATGCCACACCCTCGTCTCCTCTGATTGGCTGGAGCATGGGCGGCCGGTGCCGTCGACGAATTGCGTGAGGCGTATGTAGGCGATGCAGGCGGCCTCTTCACCAATCAGGTGGACGTGAGGGTTGAGGATGGTGGTGTGGATGGGTTTACTGTTCTTAGACAGGACTGGGAAGGGAGAGAATAGATAGTTTATGGTTGTATAATTGTTGTGTAATGGTTGTCTTAAGGTTGTGTAGTGGTTGTCTTAAGGTTGTTATAGTTGTGCAATGGTTGGGTAGTGGTTGTCTTAAGGTTGTACTATAGTTGTGTAATGGTTGTGTAGTGGTTCTCTTAATGTTGTGTAGTAGTTATGTAGTGGTTGTCTTAATGTTGTGTAGTAGTTATGTAGTGATTGTGTTATAGTTGTGTAGTGGTTTTATTAAGTGTGTGTAATGGTTGTCTTACGGTTGTCGAAGTAGAACCGGTGGAAGTCCATGCCCTCCACTAGGTTCCCCAGGGCCTCTGGCTCAAATGACGTCAAACATGGGTCACAGATCTTCCTGTTGAAAACACAGAACACAACACTTTACAACACATTGTCTCACAACACAACAAACACAACACAACACATATTCTCACAACATAACACATTGTTTCACAACACATCATCTGAGCTCAGACTAAAAGAGCAACCAAGAAATCTCAGTTTAGAACCTCTATAGTTGTAGGGAGATAATGAGGTGCAGGCTGGGAGTTGTAGTGTTATGGTGATTTGAGCTGCAGGCTATAATTCCTGCAACAATATTTAGAGTATAAAGGTGTTTTTTGCAGAGGTCAGCGCAGTTCAGGAGAGGTAAAATGTCACCTGTAGTTTTAGGGTAAAATTAGGTGCAGGCTAGGAGTTGTAGTGTTATGGTGATGGGCAGGCTGGGAGTTATAGTACTTTGGTGAGGTGCAGGCTGAGAGTTGTAGTGTACTCACGCGTAGGCCTCAAAGTCTCCATTGTTGATAGCTTCAATCAGCTGCTCAGTGATCTTGATAATCTCCTGTTTTCGCACTGCAGGGGGAACCAATAACAGAGTGACCATGGGTCGGGGACAATAAAATGTTTGTGCAACAAATCTCGCAGAGCAAGATTCCCAAAGGTTGGAGCGTCGGCTCCAATTCTGCTCCAGTAGCGCTCACTTCAAGAGCTCTGGGAATGCCCGGCCCAGCATGCATTTCTAGTCTACTTGTGTGCTGCTATAGCCCCTTGCTTTAGCTACTGTCATGGAGTTCACTAAATATTTTCATAAAGAAACTGATAAAACACACAGGTGCAAAATCAAGGTAACTTACAAAGATGAAGACCAAGAGCAAGAGAGCGAGTGCTGTGAATTATTGTGTAATCTGAAAAAACACATATCCCGAAAGCATGATGGTGTACTTACTACGTGCACATGCTAAAATAAAGGAACGAGGTGGGTAGTTAAGTGTGTCATTGTAGCAAAACATTTATAAACAAAAAATCAGATCTCTTAAAACTTTCGTTCATTTTTGTTCTATTATCTATACAATAGGCCATGATTGATTTTGGCCCAGTAGGCCTGGCATATTCCCACTTTCAATGAGGTTTCCCTTTTTATTGGGTTATTTAGCCTAAAAACCTTTAGGAATACCTATAGAAAAAAATATAGAAAAAAAAACTCTGCATCTCTGCCCAGCCTGGCAAGAGTGGCCCGAAGGGTGTTTAGCATCCCCAGTGGCTCTGCAAGCCAGGAGAGGATATTCTTCGCTGCTGGCCTGCTTTCCAGGCACCATCGCATGAGCCTGAAGCCACAGACTTTGGCCAAACTCATGTTTAGAAAAAAATGAATTCAAAGGCACTAATAAGGCATTTTCCGTTTAATTTGTATTTAATTCTAAGTAAATCACAGCCTATATGTGCAATTTATAGACTATCATGATTTAATACAACTAAATGTTGTTTAGATGCTGAGCCCTTTATGTCCCTACCAGCCTGGTGCTTCACAATGTATTTCTTTGTAGGCTAATACAGTGCATTCGGAAAGTATTAGACTCCTTGACTTTTTCCACATTTTGTTACGTTACAACCTTATTCTAAAATGGATTAAATTGTTTTCCCCCCTCAATAAACTACACACAATACCCCATAATGACAAAGCAAAAACTGGTTTTTAGAAATGTAGGCACATTTATTCTCTGCAGATCCTCTCAAGCTCTGTTAGGTTGGATGGGGAGCATCGCTGCACAGCTATTTTCAGGTCTCTCCAAAGATGTTAGATCGGGTTGACGTCCGGGCTCTGGCTGGGCCACTCAAGGACATTCAGAGACTTGTCCCGAAGCCACTCCTGAGTTTTCTTGGCTGTGTGCTTCGGGTTGTTGTCCTGTTGGAAGATGAACCTTCGCCCCCAGTCTGAGGTCCTGAGCGCTCTGGAGCAGGTTTTCATCAAGGATCTCTCTGTACTTTTCTCTGTTCATCTTTGCCTCGATCCTGCCTAGCATCCCAGTCCCTGCTGCTGAAAAACATCCCCACAGCATGATGCTGCCACCATCATGCTTCACCGTAGGGATGGTGCCAGATTTCCTCCAGACTTGACGCTTGGCATTCAGGCCAAAGAGTTAAATATTGGTTTCATCTGACCAGAAAATCTTGTTTCTCATGGTCTGAGAGTCCTTTAGGTGCCTTTTGGCAAACTCCAAGCGGGCTGTCATGTGTATTTTACTGAGGAGTGGCCACTCTACCATAAAGGCCTGATTGGTGGAGTGCTGCAGAGATGGTTGTCCTTCTGGAAGATTCTCCTATCTCCACAGAGGAACTCTGGAGCTCTGTCAGAGTGACCATCGGGTTCTTGGTCACCTCCCTGACTAAGGCTCTTCTCCCCCGATTGCTCAGTTTGGCCGGGCGGCCAGCTCTAGGAAGAGTCTTGGTGGTTCCAAACTTCTTCCATTTAAGAATGATGGGGGCCACTGTGTTCTTCAATGCTGCAGACATTTTTTACTACCCTTCCCCAGATCTGTGCCTCGACACAATCCTGTCTCGGAGCTCTACGGACATTTCCTTCGACCTCATGGCTTGGTTTTTGCTCTGACATGCACTGTCAACTGTTGGACCTTATATAGACCTTATATAGCCTTTCCAAATCATGTCCAATCAATTGAATATACCACAGGTGGACTCCAATCAAGTTGTAGAAACATCTCAAGGATGATCAATGGAAACAGGATGCACCTGAGCTCAATTTCGAGTCTCATAGCAAAGGGTCTGAATACTTACGTAAATAAGGTATTTCTGTTTTTTATTTCTAATACATTTGCAAAAATGTCTAAAAACCTGTTTTCGCTTTGTCATTATGGGGAATTGTGTGTATTTATTTAATCAATTTTAGAATAAGTCTGTAACGTAACAAAATGTAGAAAAAGTCAAGGGGTCTGAATACTTTCCAAATGCACTGTAATATAGCCTAAATTATTCATTTTCGTTCCTTCTTAGGCTCCCTGTCTGGCTCCTGACCTATTTAGTGTTTATATGCTGTTTAATACGACATGTAGCCTATTTGAAATGATGAGCTTTTTCATGTTTATTAAAATACTTTTATTTTCAAATCATATGGTTATGTTTCAATATTCAAAACCAAATGGTAGGTCCAGGTAGTCACAATAATAGATGGGTGTTTGTTAAATTGTGATTTTAATTAATGGAGCGAATTCGAAGCGGCAGTTTTTGGCGGGGTGGTTGGAAAGGACGTGGATGTCCATGAGCGATGAGCGGGATTTCCGTCCGCTCAACTCCGCTCACATACTCTGGTAACTCTACATACTCTGGTAACTGTACATACTCCGGTAACTCACAGAGTGAGGCTTGTTGTCATAGCAGAGATACTCACCAGATGGCTTGCTATTCATGGTGGTAAATCCTCTCATTCATCTCTCTCTTTTATATCTCTCTCTCTCTCTCTCTCTTATCTCCCTCTCATCCTCTGAGCCTGGTATAAGTACACTCGCACACACTCCCTCCACTAGCGTGGACAACACACTGACGCATACCCATAATGTACAGTCCTGCCACTCAGGTCTCCATAGAGCTATGCAGGGCCATGAAGACCTCAACACCAGAAAGACTTCACCGGATATAGTTCACCTGGCTTCTTCTCCTTCTCCTTCTCCTTCTTCTCCTTCTCCTTCTCCTTCTCCTTCTCCTTCTCAGCCCTCTCCTCTCCTCTCCTCTCCTCTCCTCTCCTCTCCTCTCCTCTCCTCTCCTCTCCTCTCCTCTCCTCTCCTCTCCTCTCCTCTCCTCTCCTCTCCTCTCCTCTCCTCTCCCTCTCCTCTCCTCTCCTCTCCAAGAGTCCAAAGGTTGGAGCGTCGGCTCCCAATTCTGCTCCAGTAAGCGCTCACTTCAAGAGCTCTGGGAATGCCCGGCCCGCATGTCATTTCTAGTCTCCTTACTTGTGTGCGGCTTATAGCCCCTTGCTTTACTACTGTCATGGAGTCACTAATATTTTTCATAAAGAAACTGATAAAACACACAGGTGCAAAATCAGGTAACTTACAAAGATGAAGACCAAGAGCAGGAGCTGAGGTGGCTTGTGAATTAGTGTGTAATCTGAAAGACAACATATCCCAAAGCAATGATGGTGAACTTACTACGTGCACATGCTAAAAAAAGGAACGATGTGGGTTAGTTAAGTGTGTCTTGTAGCAAAACTTTATAAACAAAAAATCAGATCTCTAAAATATTTCGTTCATTTTTTGTTCTATTATCTATACACTAGCCATGAGTGAGTTTGGCCCATAGGCCTGGGCATTGTCCCACTCAATGAGGTTTTCCCTTTTTCTTGGGTTATTTAGCCTAAAAACCTAACCCTTTAGGATACCTTAAAAAAATATAAAACAAGAGCTCTGCAGCTCTGCCCAGCCTGCAAAGTGGCCCGAAGGGGTGTTTAGCATCCCCATGGCTCTGCCAGCCAGTATAGGATCTTCTTCGCTGCTGTGCCTGCTTTCCTCCAGGCACCATCGCATGATCCCTGAAGCCACAGACTTTGGCCAAACTCATGTTTAGAAAAAAAATGAATCAAGTCAAAGGCACTAATATGCATTTTCCGTTAATTTGTATTTAATTCTAAGTAAGTCACCCGCCTATATTTGCACTTTATAGACATATGTTTAATACAACTAAATTTGTTTAATGGCTGACCCTTTATGTCCCTACCAGCCCTGGTGCTTCACAATGTATTTCTTTGTAGGCATACAGTTCATTCGGAAAGTATTAGACTCCCTTGACTTTTTCCTTTTGTTCCACATTTTGTTACGTTACAACCTTATTCTAAAATGGATTCAATTGTTTTTCCCCCTCAATAAACTACACACAATACCCCATAATGACAAAGCAAAAAAACTGGTTTTTTAGACATGTATGCACATTTATTCTCTTCAGATCCTCTCAGCTCTGTTAGGTTGGATGGGGAGCAATCGCTGCACAGCTATTTTTCAGGTCTCTCCAAAGATGTTTGGTTTTTAGATCGTTTGACTCCGGCTCTGGCGGGCCACTCAAGGACATTCAGAGACTTGTCCCGAGCCACTCCTAGTTTCTTGGCTGTTTGCTTCGGGTCGTTGTCCTGTTTGGAAGATGAAAACCTTCCGCCCCAGTCTGAGGTCCCTGAGCGCTCTGAGCATGTTTTCATCAAGTATCTCTCTGTACTTTTTTCTCTGTTCATCTTGCATCGATCCTGCCTAGCATCCCATCCCTGCTGCTGGAAAAACATCCCCACGCATGATGCCTGCCACCATCAATGCTTCATCCCCCGTAGGGATGGTGCCAGATTTCCTCCAGTACTTGACGCTTGCATTCAGGCCAAAGCGTTTAAATATTGGTTTCATCTCTGACCATAAATCTTGTTTCTCTGGTCTGAGAGTCCCTTTAGGTTGCCTTTTGGCAAATCTCCAAGCGGTCCGGGGGGGGTCATGGTGTATTTTACTAGTGGGCCACTCTAACCATAAAGGCCTGATTGGTGAAGTGCTGCAGAGATGGTTTTGTCCCTTCTGGAAGATTCTCCTTCTCCACAGAGGAACTCTGGAGCTCTTCGAGTGACCATCGGTTCTTGGTCACTCTCCCTGACGAAGGCTCTTCTCCCCCGATTGCTCATTTGGCCGGGGGCCAGCTCTAGGAAGAGTCTTGGTGGTTCCAAACTTCTTCCATTTAAAGAATGATGGTGGCCACTCTGGTGTTCTTCAACTGCTGGCCGACATTTTTTACTACCCTTCCCAGATCTGTGCCTCGACACAATCCTGTCCCTCGGAGCTCTACGGACATTTCTATCGACCTCATGGCTTGTTTTTTGCCTGACATGCACTTCCAACTTTTGGACCTTATATAGACCGTGATATAGCCTTTCCCAATCATGTCCCAATCAATTGAATATCGCACAGGTTGACTGACTCACCAATCAAGTTGTTCAAACATCTCAAGGATATCATGAAACAGGATGCACCTGAATCTCAATTTCGAGTTCATAGCAAGGGTCTGAATACTTACGTAAATAAGGTTTTTCTTGTTTTTATTTCTAATACATTTGCAAAAATGTCTAAAACCTGTTTCGCTTTGTCATTATGGGGAATTGTGTGTATTTAGTTAATCAATTTTAGAATAATTCCTGTAACGTAACAAATGTAGAAAAGTCAAGGGGTCTGAATACTTCCAAATGCACTGTAATATAGCCTAAATTATTCATCTTTCGTTCCTTCTTATGCTCCCTGTCTGGCGCCTTACCTATTTAAGTGTTTATATGCCGTTTAATATTCGACATGTAGCCTATTTGAAATGATGAGCTTTTTCCTGTTTTATTTAAATACTTTTATTTTCAAATCAGATGGTTTAATGTTTCAACTATTAAACCAATGGTAGGTCCAGGTAGTCACAATAATAGATGGGTGTTTTGTTAAATTGTGATTTTAATTAAGGAGCGAATTCGAAGCTGCAGTGTTTGGGCGGGGTGGTTGGAAAGGCGTGGATGTCCATGAGCCGATGAGCGGGATTTTTTTTCCCGTCCGCTCAATCCGCCTCACTACTCTGGTAACTCTACATACTCTGGTAACTGTACATACTCCGGTAACTCACAGAGTGATGCTTGTGTCATAGCAGAGATACTAACCAAGATGGCTTTGCTTAGTCAGGGGTGGTAAATCCTCTCATTCAATCTCCTCTTTTTATATATATCTCTCTCTCTCTCTCTCTCTCTCTCTCTCTCTCTCTTTATCATCCCTCTCATCCTCTGAGCCTGGTAAGATTACACTCGCACACACTCCCTCACTACGGGGACACACACTGAGCATACCATAATGTCAGCCTGCCACTCGGTCCCCATATACTATGCAGGCCATGAAGACCCAACACCAGAAAGAGCTTCATCACCGGTATAGAGTTCCACCTGTCTTCTTCTCCTTCTCCTTCTCCTTCGCCTTCTTTCTTCCCTTCTCCTACTTGTTCCTTCTCCTTCTCCTTCTCGCCCCTCCTCTCCTCTCCTCTCCTCTCCTCTCCTCTCCTCTCCTCTCCTCATCCTCTCCTCTCCCTCCTCTCCTCTCCTTCTCCTGCTCCTCTCCTCTCCCTCCTCCCCTGTGTGAGGCAATTTGAGCTCATCCACTATTCCTGTCCCGAGATAGACTTACTTCCTCCCTCTCCCTCTATCCTTCTAATCATCCCATCTCCCTAATCTCATCACCTATCTCAATCATCTATCCAATCCCCAGCCTCCTAAATCCATCCCACATCCCCTAATCTCTATCCCCTATCCTCTCCCCCCCCTCCCCTCTATCCCCTCCTTTCCCCTCCTTCCCCTCTCTCCTCCCCCCCCCTTCCCCCCCCCCCTCCCTCCCCCTCCCCCCCTCCCTCCATCATCCTCCCCCCCCCACCCCCCCCTCCCGTCCTTCTATCCTCCCCCCCCCCCCCCCTACTCCCTCTCTCACCTCCCTCCTCCCCTCTCTCCCCCACATCCTTCCCTCTCCCTCTAAACCCCTCTCCTACCTACCCCTCTCCCTCTAACCGCTCTATCTCTAATCTACCTCCTCTCCCTCTACCTCTCCCTCTCATCTATCTCACTCCTCCAACCTATCCTCCTACTACTCCTACTACTCCCTCTATACCCCTCTACACTACATAACTCAACTAACCCTCTCTAATCGTCCTCTACTATCTAATCTACCTACTAAACTACCTCCCTCCTATACTAACCTCTCTACTCTCCCTACTACACGAGCCCTCCGGGCCGCGCCCGCGAAGCCCTCCCGAGCCGCGCCCGCGAGCCCGCCCGCCCGCGCCTCGATCCCTCCCGCGAAGCCGGCGAGCGAGCCCGCCCCCCGATCCTGCAGCCCCCCCGCCCTCGATCCAGCCGCGCGCCCGCGCCCGCGAGCCGGCTAGCCCGCCCTCGCCCGCGCCAGCTAGCCCGCCCTCGAGCCTGCGATCCCGCCCGCTCCCTCGCGCCCGCCCTCGCCCGCCCCCGCCCGCCGCCCTCATCCCGCCCGCGCCCGCGAGCCCGCGCCCGCGCCCGCTCTCCTCCCTCTCCCTCTCCCTCTTCCCTCCCTCTCCCCGCGCCCCAGCTAGCCCTCCTCCGTCCGATCCCCTCCACGCGTGCGCGCCTTCCAGCAGACCACAGAAGGGCTTTACTTAACATACAAGGTAGCTTGCTGGGGTTTCTGGATATACCCTCTCCTCCTCTCTCCTTCCCCTCTCTCCTTTCCTCTGTCTTCCTCTCTCTTCCTCTCTCGCTTCCCCTCTCTTCCGTCTCTCTCTCGTTCCTCTCATCTCCTTCCTCTCTTCTCCCTCTCTTCTCCCTCTCTCTTCCACTCTCTCTCTCCTTCCCCTCTCTCCTTCACTCTCCTCCGTCCTGTCTTCGTTCTTAGATAATCTTATAATGGCCATTTACAGACGCTTTTATATCCAAAGCGACTTACAGTCATGTGCGCATACTTTTTACGTAATGGGTGGTCCCAGGATCGAACCCATTAACCCTGGCATTACAAGTGCTACCAATTGAGCTAAAGATGACCTAATCAGCCTCCTCTCTTCTCCCTTTCTCCTTCCCCTCTCCTTCCTCTCCCTGCCATCTCTCTCCTTCCCTCTCTCCTTCCTCTGTCCTTCCACTCTCCTTCCTCTCTCTCCCCCTATTTCCTTCCTCTCTTCCTCTCCTCCTTCCTCTCTCCTTCCTCTCTCTCCTTCCCCTCTCTCCCTCCCCTCTCTCATTCCCCTCTCTCCTTCCCTCGCCCTCTCCTTCCTCTCTCTCCCCCGCTCTTCCTCTCTCTCCTTCCTCTCTCCTTCCTCTCTCCTTCCCCTCTCTCCTTCCCCCCTCCTTCCCCTCTCATCCATTCCGCCTCCCTCCTTTCCTCTCTCTCCCTTCCCCTCTCCGTCCTCTCTCCTTTCTCTCCTTCTTCCCTCCTTCCCCTCTTTCCTTCCTCTCTACTTCCCCTCTCTCCTTCTTTCCTTCCTCTCTCCTTCCTCTCCCCTTCCCCTCTCCTTCCTCTCTTCTCCCTCTCTCTCCTTCCGCCCCTCCTTCCCCATCCCCTCTCTCCTTCCACTCTCCTTTCTCTCTTCCCCTCTCTCCGTCCTCCTCTTCCTCCCCTCTCTCCTTCCTCTCTCCCTTCCTTCTTCTCTTCTCTCCTTCCTCTCTTCCCACTCTCCTCATTCCCCTCCTCTCCTTCCTCCCTCTTCTCCCTCTCCGACTCGCCTTCCTCTTCTCTCCCTTTCTCCCTTCCCCTCTCCTTCCTCTCTCCTTCCTCCTCCTCCTTCTCCTTCCTCTCTCCTTCCCCTCTCTAACCCTTTCCTCCTCTCCTTCCACTCTCCTTCCTCTCTCCTTCCTCTCTCCTCTCTCTCTCCTTCCTCTCTCTCCTTCCTCTCTCTCCACCTATTTCCTTCCTCTCCCTCCTTCCCCTCTCTCCTTCCCACTCCTCCCCTTTCCTTCCCCTCTCTCTCCTTCCCCTCTCTTTCCTCTCTCTCCTTCCTCTTCCTCTCTCTCCTTCCCCTTCTCCTTTCTCTCCCTCCTCCTCTCTCTTCTCTCCTTCCCCTCTCCGTCCTCCTCTCCTTTCCCTCCTTCTCCCTTCCTTCCTTCCCCTCTTCCTTCCCTCCCTACTTCCCCTCTCTCTTCGTTCCTTCCTCTCTCCTTCCTCTCTCTCCCCTTCCTCTCTCTCTTCCTCTCTTCCTCCCCTCTACTTTCACTTTCCTCCCTCCTTATCCCCTCTCTCCTTCCCCTCTCTCCTTCCCCTCTCCTTCTCCTTCCTCTCTTCTCTCCCTCTCTCCTCTCCGTCCTCCTCCTTCCCCTCTCTCCTTCCCTTCTCTCCTTGCCTCTTCTTCCTCTCTCCTCCTCTCTCAGCTCTCTCATTCCCCTCTCTCCTTCCTCTTCTTCTCCTCTCTTCTCCCTCTCCGCCTTCTCCTTCCTCCTTCTCCTTCTCCTTCCAGTCCTCTCCTCTCCCTCTCCTCTCCTCGCCTCTCCCATCCTCTCCTCTCCTCCTCCCTCTCCTCTCCTCTCCTCTCCTCTCCTCCTCTCCTCTCCTCTCCTCTCCGTTGAACATGTTGAGCTCATCCATCTATTCCTGTCCCTAGATAAACCTTTTCTTCCTCCCTCCTCCTCCCTCTATCCCTCCCTCTATCCTTCTATCCCTCCCTCTCCCTCTCCTCCCTCCCTCTCCCCTCTCCGCCTCTCCCTCCCTCCCATCTATCCCTCCTCTCCCCTCTATCCCTCCCTCTCCCTCTCCTCCCTCTATCCCTCCCTCCCTCTCCCTCTCCCTCTATCCCTCCCTCTCCCTCTATCCCTTCCTCCTTCCTATCCCTATCCCTCGCTCTTTCCTCTCTCTCCGCAACCAACAGAGGCTTACTTACATACAGTAGCTGCTGGGGTTCCTATATCCCTCTCCTCCTCTCTCTCCTTCCTCTCTCCTTCCCCTCTCTCCTTCCCCTCTCCTTCCTCCTTCCCTCCCTCTCTCCTTCCTCTCGTCTCCCTCTCTCCTTGCTCTCTCCTTGCTCTCTCCTTCCCCTCTCTCCTTCCTCTCTCTCCTTCCCCTCTCTCCTTCCTCGCTTCTTAATAATATAATAATATGCCATTTAAGCAAACGCTTGTATCCAAAGTGAACTTACTGTCATGTGCGCATACATTTTACGTATGGGTGGTGTCCCGGGGATCCCGAACCCACTACCCTGGCGTTAACAAGCGCCCATCTCTACCAATTGAGCTACAGAGGACCTCTCCTCGCCTTCCTCTCTCTCCCCTTTCTCCCTTCCCCTTCCCTTCCTCTCTCCTTTCCCTCTCTTCCTTCCTCGCTCCTTTCCCCTCTCTACTTCCCCTCTCCCTTCCTCTTCCTTCCACTCTCCTTCCTCCTTCCTCTATCCTTCCCCTCTCCTTCCCTCTCTCCCCGTCTCCCTCCTCGCTTCTCCTTGCCTCCTCCTTCCTCTCTTCTTTCCTCTCTCTCTAAAAAACTACCCTCTCTCCTTCCCCTCTCTCCTTCCTATCACCTTCCACTCTCCTTCCTCTCTTCTCCCTCTCTCCGTCCTCCTCCTTCCTCTCTCCTTCCCCTCTCTCCTTCCCCTATCCTTCCTCTCTCCTTCCTCTCTCTCATTCCCCTCTCTCCTTCCTCTCTTCTCCCTCTCAACCTTCTCTCGCCTTCCTCTCTCCCTTCCTTTTTCCTTCCTCTCTCCTTCCCTCTCTCTCCTCCCCTCTCTCCTTGTCTCACCTTCCCTCTCCTTCCATTCCTTCCGTTCCCCATCTCCTTTCTCTTCCTTCCCCTCTCCTCCTTCCTCTCTCCTTCCTCTCTGGTCCTTTCCCTTTCCTTCCTCCTCTCCTTCCTCTCTCCACGTTCCTCTCTCCTTCCTCTCTCCTCCCCCTCCTTCCTCTCTCCTTCCCTCTCCGTCCCCTTCTCGCTTCCTCTCGCTCTACCCCCTCTCTCTCCTTCCCCTCTCTCTCTCCTTCCTATCTCCTTCCCTCTCCTGCCCTCTTCTCCCTCTCTCCTCCACCTCCTCCTTCCTCTCATCCGTCCCTCTCGTCCTTCCCCCTCGCCGGCCTCTCTCCGTCCCCTCGCCTCCGGCCGCGGCGCCCGCGCGCCTTCCGCTTCTTTTTGAAAATACTTGTATGTTCCAGCATATGGGTAGGTTTTCAAATCTTCAAACCAAATGGAGGTCCAGTAGGCACAAGAATAGAGGGGGGGGGGGGAAGTGGGATTTTAATGAATGGAGCGAATTCAAGCGGCAGTTTTTGGCGGGGTGGTTGGAAAGGACGTGGATGTCCATGAGCGATGAGCGGGATTTCCGTCCGCTCAACTCCGCTCACATACTTTGGTAACTCTACATACTCTGGTAACTCTACATACTCCGGTAACTCTACATACTCCGGTAACTCACAGAGTGAGGCTTGTTGTCATAGCAGAGATACTCACCAGATAGCTTGCTATTCATGGTGGTAAATCCTCTCATTCATCTCTCTCTTTTTCTCTCTCTCTCTCTCTCTCTCTCATCTCCCTCTCATCCTCTGAGCCTGGTATAAGTACACTCGCACACACTCCCTCCACTAGCGTGGACAACACACTCACGCATACCCATAATGTACAGTCCTGCCACTCAGGTCTCCATAGAGCTATGCAGGGCCATGGAGAATGAAGACCTCAACACCAGAAAGACTTCACCGGATATAGTTCACCTGGCTTCTTTCTCCTTCTCCTTCTCCTTCTCCTTCTTCTCCTTCTCCTTCTCCTTCTCCTTCTCCTTCTCCTTCTCCTTCTCAGCCCTCTCCTCTCCTCTCCTCTCCTCTCCTCTCCTCTCCTCTCCTCTCCTCTCCTCTCCTCTCCACGGCATGTTGAGCTCATCCAGCTATTCCTGTCCCTAGATAAGACTTACTTCTTCCCTCTCCCTTTATCCCTCCCTCTCCCTCTATCCTTCTATCCCTCCCTCTCCCTCTATCCCTCCCTCTCCCTCTCCCACTCCCTCTATCCCTCCCTCTCCCTCTATCCTTCTAATCCCTCCCTCTCCCTCTCCCTCTCCCTCTATCCATCCCTCTCCCTCTATCCCTCTATCCCTCCCTCTATCCTTCTATCCCTCCCCCTCCCTCTCCCTCTATCCCTCCCTCTCCCTCTATCCTTCTATCCCTCCCTCTCCCTCTCCCTCTCCCTCTATCCCTCCCGCTCCCTTTATCCTTAATCCCTCCCTCTCCCTCTATCCTTCTATCCCTCCCCTCTCCCTCTCCCTCTATCCCTCCCTCTCCCTCTATCCTTCTATCCCTCCCCCTCCCTCTCCCTCTATCCCCCCCTCTCCCTCTATCCTTCTATCCCTCCCTCTCCCTCTCCCTCTCCCTCTATCCCTCCCGCTCCCTTTATCCCTCCCTCTCCCTCTATCCTTCTATCCCTCCCTCTCCCTCTCCCTCTATCCCTCCCTCTATCCTTCTATCCCTCCCTCTCCCTCTCCCTCTATCCCTTCCTCTCCCTCTATCCTTCTTTCCCTCCCTCTCCCTCTATCCCTCCCTCTCCCTCTATCCCTCCCTCCTTCCTATCCCTTGCTCTTTCTCTCTTCCAGCAGACCAACAGAAGGGCTTACTTACATACAGTAGCTGCGGGGGTTCCTGATATACCCTCTCCTTCCTCTCTCCTTCCTCTCTCCTTCCC